AAAAAAAAAAAAAACTCTGATTTTTATTAAATAAATTCGCTAAATTCTTTAAAATAAAACGGGGCGTTACAAATGCACCAGATAATTCCTTAGACAGAGAGTTTAAAATCCAGGATATGATCATCCAATCGATCTTTATCCATTTCTCATGATTAGGATCATTTATGCTCGGTTCAGGTACAGTTCCTTTTATAAAACCTTAGCTTTGTCTTAGCTCCTAAAGCTATCATCATCGATCTTCTCCATGCCAGGAAATTTGAACCAGTGAGAGGATTCGAGACCAAGTGCATACCTGGATTATCTGAACCGTTGAGAAAAACTGGATTATCTTCTGGAGCATCGCCTCCATTATTTGTGCGAGCATTTAGCAGTGGCCAAGCTTCGTTGTTCCGATTGTGCACTATTATCAACGATCAATCAATTGCTCCAGGTTCGCAACTCGCTCTGGATACCATGAAGAAAATAAAGGAACAAAATCTGATCTGAAATTATTTGGGAAAATATCTTCGCATCATCGTTTCACGTTCAAGCATGCACACATTTATAGTGGATAGAGAAAAATCCCTCAGCTCGCTCTAAACGGCGTCATTTAGATTTATATCTCCTAACACACACAAAACGACGCCGTCCTATACTAAACACACAACACACTGTTTGTCCTATTTTTGTTGCGTTTTTCGTGTTTATTTTATCTTTCTTTTCCCCCCATTTTAGGTCCTTTCTTTAGTTTTTTTTCCGTTTCATGTTTTATTATGTGTTTTCCTTCATCTTGAGTCTTTAGGTGTTTTTCATTTGTTTTTCTGGTTTTCTTTTGTGTTTTGTCGTTTTTGGTGTGTAGGTCAGGAGCTTCGAGCGAATTTTCTCTTCAAGAAAAGCTGGCTTTGAGAGCATAATTGGATAGATGGGTTTGTTAGTGACACGTAGCAAAAAACGGAACTCAATTCCGAGTTCGGATGAGCCCAAACGAGCCCGAAACGTAAAATGGCGCAGTGCAGTCCAAAGTCGCGAGTCGCGAGAGAAAAGTCGCGACTCGCGAGCCTACGTCGCGACTCGCGAGAGCAAAGTCGCGACTCGCGACTAAAACAGAGCCTTCGACCAGCTGCGCGACCCCACGACCCGTCCGACTCGCGACTCGCGAGTCAACTCGCGACTCGCGACCTGTTCGACCCTGTTTTTATTATTCTCCGTTTTTACTCGTTTTAGCTCCGTTTTTCGAGCTCTATATATGAAAACGAACCCCCAGACCTACGGAACAATCCCCAATATCGTTCCTTTCAATTTTTCTCTCCAAAAACTCAATATTGTTAGGATAAATTTCTTCGCTTTTCTTTTTTTTCTCTCATGCTTGGATTGTTGGACACAAAGTTATTTGGATTGAAATCTTGCAACTCTTAATCCGATTGTAAGTTTTTCAATTCTATTTTATTATTGTTGATTGGTTTTATGTTCTTAATTCCGGTTAACATGAAGTTGAATCTAAGCATGAGGTAATCCATTCACCTAGGGTTAGGGATTTTGATTCTTGTTTTGAATTATGAGGAATGTGTTTTGTTCAATCTATACGAGTTGTGTGAATTATATGGTTAGTTGATTGATCACCATTCTAACCTAGTTAATTGACGCTTAGAACCGAGAGGGGAGACGTCGGTCGATTTAGGCTCGTATAGAGTAGACATGTTCGTAAAAGTATTGTCTATGTGTTGCTTGTTTGAATGAATTTATCGTTTATGTTTGTGCTCTTGTTACGAAGAGTTATTGAGCATAGCCCTCTAGACGTGTAGGCTTGTTTAATCTCGTAACCGAACAAATAAGCGTTCAACATAGTTTAAGACTTGATGAGATTTCCCGACCCCTAGACCTTCTTCTTTTTCTCTAGAAATTTAATTGTTATTTCCTTAAATTGTTTTTCTAGTTCTAGATTGTTTTAGTTGATTCTCCAAATCAATCGTGATTAGAGTGTTTAGGACTTATTTTCTTTTCGTGTGTGATCAAGACCAACGCTAAATTCCGAACCGTCTTCCTCGAGAGATCGACCCGGGGAGCGAATCTTTTGATTCGGTACTCGGTAAAAACATAAAATAATTTGCTACAACAAATTTGGCGCCGTTGTCAGGGAAGGCAAGTAGGATATTTGGTTTTGGTATTGGTTTTATTTTTCGTGTTTCTCTTATTCTTGTGATATTTACTTAATTTTTGTGTTTCTCTTGATTATTTGTTTATTTGATATTTCTCTTGCTTTTGATATTTGTGTTGTCGTGAATATCGTTCCGTGTTAGTTTGTTTTTGTTTTTGCCTCGTGTGCCTTTGGTTGTTTTGTTTTTGTTCTTGTGCGAGGTATTTGCTTGAGGAATTCCGATGAATCCATACGATTATTCCTATGCCGGAAATTTGTCTTGTGGATACCCCGACAATTATCAAGGGGAGATGTATTCGTATGGAGGGCCGCCCAATCCGTATCCGAGCCATTCAAATCATTATTACCATGACGGATACACCACATCCCAAGGGTATGGCCCGAGCCATTCTTACCCGACGTCTCAAGGCGGATATGGTTATTACGCTCCGAATCAATACGAGTCGCCTTATTACCAACCGCCATCTTCCTACGACTACTACCCTCCGCCTCCCACATATTTCGATTCAATGCCTCCACCCGAGTCAACTCAAGTAGCTTCTCCGAGCCGTTTAGACGAGATTTTTGAGAAAATGGAGAAGTTAAATCAATCCTTTCTATCCATTTGTACTTCAAAGGTGTCCCCATCCGAAAAAGAAGACGCCGAGTCTTACACTCTACCACCTCCTATCTACGAGAACCAATCGGTTGGCCAACCTTGTTCATTGAGAACCGAGACTTCAAGTCAAACAAGGGTTGTTCCTATCGAAGATCACCAAGAGGTTTTGGCAAATACTCGAGACAGGCTCAAAAACCTCCTGTCGGTTGTAGAGGAGTTTAACAATTGGGGGATCATTCCCGTTCCATCAGGTCTCCAAAATCAACTAACGGAATTCGACTCAACCGTAGTTACCTTCCTCGACTTGGACACATCTCACATCCCGCTTGGTAGATATGCTTCTCTATCGGTGGAGGTTTGTCGAGAAAGCGCACGGTTGGAGGGAGAATTTCGAACATTGGTGGATATGATTGCATCCTTCAATGAGATTGAGTGTATGTACTCGGAGGCCGACACGGTGCATGGCATGGGGGATAATTCAAGAGAGGATTTGATTGTGCCGAGTGTTGTTGAAGGAGCTCGGGAGGACACTTATGAGGAGGAAGAGGAGGAGAAGGTAGTCCATTGTTACGAGGATGAGGTTGATGAAGAGGTCGAGTCATCATATGAGGTTATTGAACCAAATTGTGCATTAATAGGTGACTCGGCTCGAGATGTTGAGTATGAAGTGGCTTCCATGTCCTTTGGGTCGTCATCGCATGCTGTTGAGGATTGTGAGCATTTAGAGGAGTCGAGTGCGTTTACGCACATGCTCCCGACACTTGAAGTTGAAGAGTACACATCCGAGATGGCATTGGTGAAAGCCGAGATCGATTCGACATGCTCCACGGATATGTTCATATTTCCGGAGGTCGATTATGGGGCTTGGATTCGTAATGCTTTATCTCTCCTCTTGGTAGTTGTTGATGTCCGTGCTCTGCATCATAAGAACGTGGGCACGAGGGTTTTACTCTTTGCCCACCTTTGTTCCGAACTACCATCGCGACTATTATTAGAGAACACGAAGGCATGGCACGATCGTCACTTCTTTCTAGACCCTGGTTGAGGTGTACACAGGTTTCGTCAAGCTAATGACGTTAAACAAGCGCTTCTTGGGAGGCAACCCAAGCGATTTACTGCTTTCTAGATATTTTTCTTTATGCTCGTTTATTTTATCTTTGAATAATGGGAGTTTTGGAGTTCTGTGTTTTTCTTGGCAGGTACGAGTTTGCGAGCTTGAGCAGGAGGAATATCGAGGTTTTGGGCTGAGCATAAGCTAGCGGCTTGCACGTGGATGTTTATCCTCCTCGAGGCATCTTCGGTTTGCACACCCTCTTCTTTTTATCCTTTTTGAGTTGTTTTTTTCTCTTGTCTTTTCTTTTGAGTTTGTGTCTTGTGATAGCTGCTAGTTTGGTTCATTATGTGAAATTGTTTTGTCCTTGTATTTGACTTCCTGTTTTGAGTTAAAGCAATGAGGACATCGCCTCATTTTAAGTGTGGGGGAGTTTACGTGGATTTTTCATGCTTATGTGGTGGACCGGTCTAGTGTAGGTTTTGTGCGTTTTTGTGAGTATGGACTTTGGAAATTTCAAGATTAGTTAAGACTTGTTTGATGAATTCGATGAGTTGTGATGTTGGTCATATGAGGCATAGCGTGATGAAATGCTTGGTCGATTACTTTGATTGGCATTCATATATCTACCTAGTGAGGTTTGAGCCTTATTTGTTTTTCTTGAGATACATTGATCGTGCTCTTGTTTGATTAGAACTTGCCCTGAGTCTGCATTGAAATAAATTGATTAGAATTGTGAACTGTGTATATGATTAAGGCGTTTATTGTATTCTATCCTTTTCTTTCTCTACAAATTATTCCCTAGTCTCCCTTTTTGAGCCTTATTTGATTTTTGTTGATAACCTCGTGATGATGACGTTGTTGGAGTTGCGGGTTAAGAATTGGAGGGGATGGTTGTTGGAGTTGTTTGTTGGAATTGTGTTCATGTTCTTCATCCCAAAAAAAAAATGACCAAAAAAGGTCGCACATTAAAAAAAATCGAAAGAAAAAAAAGAGAAAAAAAAAATGTAGCCGAATGGATTATAAAATATCCAATAAGGTTTACACAAAAAAAAAAAAAAAAAAATGAAATAAGATGGGTGAAACGTGTGGTTTTAGAAAAAGTGTGGGGGAAGATCCGGTATGTTTGTGCAACCGGTTGAGTGCATCATTCTTGGGGTAAGGTGTTTGAGTTATGTAATGAATTCGAGCCACTTAGCCTATATTTATCCTACCTAACCAAAGAGCCTACGTTACAACCTTGAAAGACCTTTTGATGCACTAGTTTCGATTTTGATTGGTTTAGAGTAGAAGTTAGACAATGGGCAAGCATATGATTGAACTTGTTATCGACCAATTTGAGTGCACCCATCTTTATCTGTATAAGAATTCGAGTGAGGCACACATATATATTCCCATACTGAGAGAACGCCATGTTGAGGTATAGTGATCAAGCATGTAGTTGTGTGATGCTCGTATATGCCATTTGAATGCTCATTGTTGAAGTTGAACATGTTGAGGCTATCTTGTTAATGACTGTTGACCATGCTCGGTTTTAGTTTTTTTTATCGTTTCTTATCTTTTCTTTTCTTTTTGTTCGGGACGAACAAAGGTTTAAGTGTGGGGGAGTTGTTTGTCCTATTTTTGTTGCGTTTTTCGTGTTTATTTTATCTTTCTTTTCCCCCCATTTTAGGT